GCACTTGGATCTTCTCTTTGAGCGTGCCTGGGCAAGGGAACAAGGCCTCAGAAGGTGGCAGACTCAAGACTACTATGCTCTTGCTGTACCAAGAATCAATCCATATCATTCCATATGTACTCTTACCTGACATTACCAGTTTTGGGCTGGTAGGATCATGTTCACGGCAACAGTTCAAGCATTGACAGCTCTGGTGCTGAAGTTGAAGGTGACAGCTGGCACAGGCAACCACCACATGGGATTACAAAAAAGGCTTTGCAGCAGTAGTGTCCTCAAGGTCCTCCAAGCAATCAACCCACATATATATATATATAAATCCCAATATGGACAGACCGAGCGGGGCTGTCTATTGTTTGGGGGAGATCACAGCATGACAGCAAGCTCCTCATGAGACAACGATGCAAAATTCCCATGATGATTCCACATGATATGTCCCGTTGGACCAGCCCCTGATTGCTTCCCAATTCTCCTAATTTCCACGAATACCACCGTGTTGGACACGGAAAAACATGGCTTTTCCTCCGATGGTCATGGTTTCCCAGTGAGGTGCCCAAACCACGTCCTCGAGAGATTCCTGGACTTTCAGATCTGACATTAGAGAGCCTGGAATCGATGGCATGGGGCCCATGGGGATGGATTGGCGGCTCCAAAGCTTCGCCATACCTTGACGGAATGGTAGGGTCATGTAACAGATGTCATCAGACGGAAGAACATGGGACCATGACACACAACTCTAATTCAGTTGTCAGGAACTGTCTCTCATTGCTGTTGCAGTGCGGTAAAGCAAATGAATCATGAACTGATTTTTGCAGGATTGAACACCGAACGATACGAGATAGAGATATATGGTATGGCTCATCAAACCTAAATCCCAAATTGACTCACTCCTTTTTTCCCCCTCTACCTGGAAACCCGAGTGCTGAGTGCCTATTGTGTTTGGCACTTTCCAAAGTGTGCCCGGAATTTTCGCCACCGGAAGGCGCACCACCCCAAAGGCAGGATTCCCACCAGTATATTTGTATGGCACTTGACGGATAATTAACATGTATATACGTTTGCCAGTTTTGCCCAACATGTCACACCAAAAGATGACGTGTATATATGTGTATATATATATATACTTTTTCGTTTGCCAGAATTGATACAAACATGGGCTACCAGGTCAAAGTATATAGCTTCAAACTATAGTCAACTACATTTTTCCGGGTGTAGTCACCACCAAAAAGAAAATATTTCCAGGATGGGATGATATTGTTTCCCCATAATTTTCAGATTTTCCAGTTTTCTATCAAGTTATCTATATATACCTGATAGAACAATTATATAATATACATATGCCTACAATCTATCGTAAAGTTTGATAACCACACATCTCAAACCCTTCATTTTCCATACCATTCGGCGTGGCCGCCTCCCGGTCCCACGTGAGGATCTCTGGGGCCAACGGCACCCTGGCCGTTTCCCGCGGCCACGTGGAGCTCCGCGACCGCTTCGGCCACCCCGTGGCGCAGCTGAGGCCCGAGGCGCCCAGCGTGGCCTACGCGCTGCGCAGGGCGGCCAAAGGCGTGGTGGGAGAGGTGGCGGAGGACGTGAAGCCGGAGGAGGCTTTGAAGGAGACAAAGATCACTAGAGATCTAGCGGCTGGCTACGGAACCAAGACAGATGAAACCAAGTAATGTTGCGTCCTGATTAGTGTGAGCCCCCCCCTCCCCCCCTCCCAATAGCTAGGCTATACCCTCTTTAAAGTTGTGCGCCAAAAATGTTCTTTCCAGGGAAAAAACGCACTTAAGTAAGGAATTCAATTGGCTACAATTGAAATCTAATTAAAAATTCAAAACATATTAAAACTGTTTTTTTGCCGATGTACTTGTAGTAATTACTTATTGTAGTGAGTGGGGTTCAGCATGTTGATTGCGTTACCTTTTCCACCTTAAGTTTTTTCCCTTAATGAACCATGCAATAAGAGAAAGAGAAAGAGAAAGAGAAAGAAAAGAGAGAGGGAACGAGAGAAAGAGAAAGAAAGAGAGAGGAAGAGGAAGAAGAGGAAGAAGAGGAAGAGAAAGAGGAAGGGAAAGACGAAGAGAAAGAGAAAGGATAAGAGAAAGAGAAAGAGAAAGGAAAAGAGAAAGAGAAATGGAAAGAGAAAGAGAAATGGAAAGAGAAAGAACAGGTTGCTTTTGTAAAAGGCTTTTCTTTCTCCTCTTGGCTGCAGGATCAGCTCTGGAAAAGGTTGCTGCAATTGTGAACCCTGCGAACAAACCTACTAAAGTGAATTGGACCCTCTCATGGCCCAGTGCCTTGGAAATTTGTGGGAAAACTGTTCTTTAATAAGGGTTTAATAAGCGGTCTGATTCTTTTGGGAAAGGTTTGGCCTTTGAACTTGGCAATTGCTTGTGTAAAAGGCCTTTCTTCTCTTGGCTCCAGGATCAGCTCTGGAAAAGCTTGCTGCAATTGTGAACCCTGAGAACAAACCTACTAAAGTGAATTGGACCCTCTCATGGCCCAGTGCCTTGGAAATTTGTGGGAAAACTGTTCTTTAATAATGGTTTAGTAAGCGGTCTGATTCTTTTGGGAAAGGTTTGGCCTTTGAACTTGGCAATTGCTTGTGTAAAAGGCCTTTCTTCTCTTGGCTCCAGGATCGCTCTGGAAAAGCTTGCTGCAATTGTGAACCCTGAGGACAAACTGCCTTGGAAATTTGTGGGAAAACTGTTTTTAATAAGGGTTTCGTAAGCGGTCTGACTCTTTTGGGAAAGGTTTGGACTTTGAATTTGGCAATTGCTTGTGTAAAAGGCCTTTCTTCTCTTGGCTCCAGGATCAGCTCTGGAAAAGTTTGCTGCAATTGTGAACCCTGCGAACAAACCTACTAAAGTGAATTGGACCCTCTCATGGCCCAGTGCCTTGGAAATTTGTGGAAAAACTGTTTTCCAAGGGTTTCGTAAGCGGTCTGACTCTTTTGGGAAAGGTTTGGACTTTGAATTTGGCAATTGCTTGTGTAAAAGGCCTTTCTTCTCTTGGCTCCAGGATCAGCTCTGGAAAAGTTTGCTGCAATTGTGAACCCTGAGAACAAGCCTACTAAAGTGAATTGGACCCTCTCATGGCCCAGTGCCTTGGAAATTTGTGGAAGAACTGTTCTTTAATAAGGGTTTTAATAAGCGGTCTGATTCTTTTGGGACAGGGAGAAAAGCAAGATTTGTTTTCCAGAAAGCATGTTCAGGTTTTTTAGACAAACATGTTGTTGGACAAAAAAATGCCCCCCCAAGATTTCTTGCCACAATAGCGAACCTACCAAACAATGCATGGGTTCAGAATAATTTGAAAAATTGTTGTTACAATAGCGAACCTATCCACTAATCAGCATCCATTTTTACCGGGTGGCATGGGTCACATCATCTGTCAAGAAGGGAAATGTATTTATATATTTATCTATATTTATTCAATGCAAAGATCATTGTTAAAATCAGTGGGGGCCACGCACCCTCAATATTAGATGGTGACGATTTGCCCTTGTAATTGTGCTTGTTGGTGGTTCATCCCCATGATAAAGATGGCTATACAATGCTAGACGGGCAACACTTTTTGAGATCTTTAAAAAATATATAATAACTGTAATACAACCGATGAAAATTGGATATAGATGGATGTGTATATATATATATTGATTTATGATTTATCTATAACCAAAAGAGAGGGGGGATGAATGCGGTTTCTTCACTTTAAAAAAAATGTACATGACAGAAACCTTGGACTTTATGTGCGCAGGTGTGAGGCAATTGCGACCCCAATTGAAAGATAATAGTTATGACTGGCTGGTGGTTTTAAATATCAATTGTGGTGAACAAAATCAAGACATTACCAAACAATACACGACATGATACTGATAATATGATTGAACAACATGTGCGTGTATGTACTGTACGTATTTAAAAAAATATTTCGAGACAGTAGATGTATGTTGGTATTTTTGCAAATGTATCTGTATGCATACATATGCACTTTGGTATGATATATTATGTACATGTGTATCTTCAGTTTAATGTGATACATATATATTATATATATAGGTTTATAAAGAGAGAGGGAGGCTTAATTATTTGCATTATGTTATCTATCAGTGTTTGGCGGCTTTGTTTTTTTCAAATGAATCCTTCAGCATGCCATGATGTTCCCCACGTTTTCTTTTCGGGAATAGACTCAGTCAGGACTTGCAGCTGGTGGAAGCAGTGCTGTCTCATCATGAACCTGGAACGCTGACATTTTTTGCTGGATGTTTCATCCTCATGACGTCAATGGTATGATATCATTTTTCATATTCTAAAAAAACACTATTTTCTATTCCAGGTTTTTAATTTTTTGTATCTATATATATAATTATATATATATATATATTGGTATAGTTTCATTCAACAATTTCCCGGATTGTGTTGGGTGCTTGGGCCCATCCACATCATCAACCAGGAACGGCTGGAACTTTGACCAAGATGTCGAAGACGCTGTGCTTCCAACGATCGAAGATATCGAAGACGTTGACGGCCAGATGCTGTGATGGCGATGTGATGCTTGCAATCGCGATCCATATGATGCTCCTTGCAATCTCATTTCATAGCAAGATTGATCGCGGACGATGACCGGCCTTTCCTGGGACTCGAGACAGTTCAGGTGCTAGCCATCGCAGCGATGGCTGAGGCTGCTGAGCCAAGTCTTACTTGGCTGACGGTTTCACCTTTTTGTGCCCTGGGATGATCAAACAATGGCTAAAATTTTGGGGATTTGGGAATCTCCAATTGCCATTAGTTTGAAAATTGAACTGAAAGATTGATCATTGGTGCTTGACAATGGGTTTGCCATAGCTCCCAAAGCTGGTGGCACAGCAAGCAAAACCAAAGGGCTGTCATAGTTTCACATTCTGAACGCGAGACGGCTACGGCATGCACAGCCTTAAATTTCGTTTTGAATTAAAATAACAATTTGAAGCAACTTACAGTAACTGATCAAAGATATACAGTGTTTTTGAAGCCTTTGAGCGTTGCAAATGCCTACTTATGGTTGTTTCTCGCGAACCCTCAAGTGGCAGTCGAAAAACCAGGCAGTACTTTCCAGCCGCAGGCTGTACAAACTGCGCCATGAAGGTCATCGGAAGCTTCAAGAACGCCAGGGCCCAACTGATGACTGATACTGGGTGGCCGGGTGGCTGGACATAGGTAGCAAGCCAGGCGCTATTTTTGATGTTGCGTAGCTACTCCTTTATGTGCAATGTCATTGATTATGTGTCATTATAGGTCACTATGTGTTATTATAAATGTAAATGTAGAATATGGAAGGCTTTTCTGGGCCCCATTCATATGGCAGGAATGTTTCAAATATGTTGTCCAAAGGCAGATCAGCCATAAAACAGTTGAAGATCTTGGATCTTCCTCCACTTCAAGTATGGTACATATGTAAATAACTATGTGTATTTGTTTTGTTTTACGGACATGTATCTATATTATATTTATGTATGTATATACATATATGTTTATAGTCCGCATTTGTTTCTTTATGAACATATATTAATAAAGTTTGTTGTGATCCATCCCCATATGTTTATCACGAATTATCTTGGTTGAATCAGACTGTGGATTCAATGAAACTCTCGGTCGATATCGGCAATACCAAGCCCGGCGTTTCAATGAAAGCAATGAAACTCTATGGTTTGCAGCCATGCACTTCGATTTAAAGTGCTTTGTGGGTTACAGTATATAGATTGATCTACGTCACCCCACTAAAGGTCAGGACTCTGGTAGGGTATCTCGGATGAAGAAACCACCAAGTAAAAGCTTCTACAGCCAAAGTCTTGAACACAGCATGAATGCCATGCCATTTGCAAGCGCTTGCCTTGGCTGGTGCAGCTTGGATCGTAGCAACAGAGGCCGTGATTTCCAACAGTTGGCAGGGTTCCAGCCATCGTTTTGGTTCCAAGCCATGATTTGCACAAGTGCCAGTTGTATGGAAAAGAAATCTGGGTGGTGTTTTCACAAGTATTGTGTTTTCATGCATATTTTCCACCCCAGTGAATGTTGATCCAATTGACCATTATGTTTCTGTGGGGTGAATCTACCAATGAGTTTTTTGTGTTTCAAATTTTGGCATGGGGAACCAAATATCATTTATATACTGTCCATCTTTGACTGATATGTCAGGATGGGTTCAAACGCATTGAAACCAATGAGTAGGCGAGTTTCAGGGACGATGGAGTTTGAAACCCACAAGACTACATCCGCAGGATGCGGTACAGTGCGAACAACGGACGTGCCTGCCAGATGACACCACACAAAATCCGCCCATTTGTTACAAGTCGGGGAACCTAGGTGGGGATGAAAACTCTTGGTGGTTGAGACTGAAGGATAATGAAGGTGATATAGGGTGATTGAGGGGGTTACATTTGATACTTTGACTGAAGTTTCATGGATCATTTGGGTGTTTATGGGTTATTCCGTACGGGAAACCCATGTGAGGCAACAAGCAAAAGGCCCATACTGGTTGGTGTAGTATTGGGATAGTAGGAATTATTTGGGTATATAGTCCAGTATTGAGGTAGTTGTTGGAGCCGTTTGGATATATATATATATATGTTCCCCACCTGCCAGGTGAGGGTTGTTAGATTTTATGTGCTCCTCCTCTCCTCTCCTCGTCTCCTCTCCTCCTCTCCTCTCCTCCTCCTCAACCGCGACCCTCGACGCACAGTGGTCTCTGTCGGACCCCAACCACGACCATCCACGCCCAGTGCTCCCTGCCGGACCTCAACCACGACCATCCCCGCCCAGTGTTCCCTGCCGGACCTCAACCACGACCATCCACGCCCAGTGTTCCCTGCCGGACCTCAACCACGACCATCCACGCCCAGTGTTCCCTGCCGGACCTCAACCGCGAGTATCCCCGCCCAGTGTTCCCTGCCGGACCTCAACCACGACCATCCACGCCCAGTGTTCCCTGCCGGACCTCAACCGCGAGTATCCACGCCAAAAGATATGCCACATAGAGTGCCAGAAGATATGCCAGATAGAATGTTAGAAGATATGCCAGATAGAATGCCAGAAGGTATGCCAGATAGAATGCCAGATAGAATGTCAGCTAGAATGCCAGAAGATATGCCAGATAAAGTGCCAGAATGTTTGCCAGATAGAATGCCAGCAGATTTGCCAGATAATATGCCAGAAGATATGCCAGATAGAATGCCAGATGGAATGCCAGAAGCCATGCCAGAAGATATGCCAGATAGAATGCCAGATGGAATGCCAGAAGATATGCCAGAACATATGCCAGAAGATATGCCAGAACATCTGCCAGAAGATATGCCAGGTAGAATGCCAGAAGATATGCCAGATAGAATGCCAGATCGAATGCCAGAAATATGTCAGATAGAATGCCAGAAGATTTGCCAGTAACAAAATGTATAAATGTCATGGTGGGGATCACACGAAGTAAAGTAATTTGTTTGCATCATTTTTTCAAGCATAACTTCTCAAGAGGAGGAATGAATGAATTTCGATTTATGACCCTACACACTGTATTAACTTGCGTGGGGGTATGCCCCCACTTGCATATGTGTTTCAAGCTCACTTGTTGACGGCTGGAATGGCACAACAGGACACGTAGGAAAAAAACTGGTTTCGGATGATTTTGGAAAATTGACCTCCACCTGCTTTGTTCTGATTTGACCATTCGGATAGCTTTGCTTGGCCTTGCGCACTTTTTTGGCTGATGCTTGAGGTGCTGTGTGGTGTTGTACAAACCTGAAACAGCTAGGCCGATAAAGCTTTACAGTTGTGGTTGCTAGCAGCATTTGGTGTGCGCTAAATTCCAACTGCTCCTTTTTGTTTGCTCTCACGTCCTTGCTTTGCCATCCTTCCTGTTTCTTCTCTTCCCTGTGCTTGCCTCCGCGACGCGTCCCTGCTTTACGCTGCTTCCTTTTTGCTATGTGTTTTGCAAGTGTCAAGACGCGTAGCGTTTTGCATCCAGCATGTTTGTTTTCTGAGGTCTGAGTTTGTCTCTTATTCAGCCAATGGTTTTACTGAACCATATTTTATTTTTTCCATCCTAAACACCCAAAACAAGCTTCTTGTGGTCCGCGCACTGGAACAAGTTTAAGTTAAGTTTAAGTTTTAACTTGTTTTGTAGGGAAAACCCACGGCCTAGACCTAGACTGTAAAACACTGACCGACCTGAACCCCACCCAGCATGCCAGTAGTTTCAGAAACTACACGAAGTGTTGAATAAAGAAGCTATATTGATGAAGCAAACCTTTACTTGACATCAGCAACCTAAGCAAACATCTGTGCAAGATGTGGGAGGAGAGGAGCCAGTAAATTGGTTAGGCAGGTTGATATGTTAAGTTTAAAAGTTGAGTTGTGAGTTGGAGTCAGTTATAATCTATTTTGAAAAAAAGTTGGCACTTGGTCACTTGATCAGCTTCAATTCCGATTGCCAACTTATGTCACCTGATCATGCTGGTGCGAGGAGTGGTGTGTGCATTCAAGTGTTTGTGAATTCTCCCCGCCGCAGCCGCAGCCAGCGGGTCTGTTGTTGATGGGTGCGGCTGGGCACACCTTCATTTTGTTGCAGTCATTACGCACATTGAATTGAAATGAAAATCAAATGATATCATCAACCCCACTGGTCAAATCAGGTTCTGTGTATTGTCAAACTTACAGCCCGTGCCAAACAAGTTCCAGCAATGGCAAAGAAGCACCTACACCAGCAAGCACAGTGAATGTACGAAAGGGACGGTCTAGATCCAAACGCATCGCGAGATGCCTCCAGGGTTCACGTCAGCCGCTGAAAGGCCAATGATCTCTTTCTGTGGCTGGCAGCTGCGGCCGTATTTTGAGTAAAACATGTGAAAACGTGGTGAATCTGTTCTGCTTTGGACACAAGTCAGATCAACCGGCTGGCAGTTTATTTGTTGAATGGATTGCCCCTCAAGAAACGCGTGCTTAACAGCAATTATTGCACAGCAGTGCTCAAAATATGGCTCGGGTGAGAATGTGCGCAAAACGGTTTTGATAGGTGTTTTTCATGTTTTTTCCACTGTGGCAGGCAGATATGTGAGACGCTTATTTCGACAATTCCCCTAACAACAACGCAAGTTAATAGCACACTGTAATCATTTTCCCGACAAACTTTGGGTGAAGATAGTTTCCATTGTGGCTTCGCATAGTGTGTATGCATATATATATATATATACCTTGACTCTCCAACGACCCTTAATTTTTGAGGTCTTTCAAGAAAAAATGCTTTTTTTCCGAAAGTATTTTTTGTAAATCAAGTACTGTTTTTGCATGTTAGTGATGTTCACTCATGGAGGTACAGCTGAAACGGTGGAAATTAAATAAATGTGCCACATTGCCAACTTGCAACTCATTGTTGCAGGTGCCATTTTTGTTTTGGCTGCTTGAAGGCGCAGGAGCAAAGATTTCAAAAGTATTGGTTCTCGTTTT